ACTTCATGTTGACCTAGTTAGTAGTGGTAAGTTGTTAAATTACATTTTTTTATTGAACATTTTACATTTGTGTTGTTCGTGACACTGGAATGAGTGAAATAGCCGGTGAAATTTGAAGGAAAACTGGATGAAATTGAGGGGAAGAAAGACTAGGGTTTATCCTCTAACAAGTTGTACCTAGGTATTGGTTAGGGGGAAAATTGAGGGAGGAGAGGGTTTTTAAAAAACCCAGTCCGCGATGAATACTCGAGTATCCATGGTGATACTCAGGTACATAATTCGAATGATTTCCCATAATATAAACACTATTCGGGTACATAATTGAGTCAATAGTCGGGTACTTATTTTTTAAGCCAGTAAAAAAATAAGATCATTATTTCAATTTGTCTCCACCTTTTCATACTATTTATCCCCTTATGTAGAATAAAATTCTTATTCAAATTACTACTTTTCTTATTTTTCAAAATAAAAACACCTTCCACCAATATTCGCAGAACTACCATCAAATTGATCCTTGTTAAAGCATAAAAAAGTTCAAAATCTTTGAAATAAAAACTGTTATTGAGTATAAAAATTCAAAACGCTGAGGAAAGCAAAAACCATATATGCTAAGTGATGGCAAAAAAAAATTAAAATATTACTATTTTAATAAATAATTACGAATATATAGTTGTTTCAAAACTATTTACGGATCTATTGTACTCATTCACGCTCAAATTATGCGTGACAATTCACATCTAAGTTAGGCGTGACTCACAAGGATTCACGCCTAATTTAGGCATGACTCGTTTGGTGTTGACACGTGACACAAAAAAGTCAATTTACGAACCGTAAAATTTTGAAAAGCCATAACTTTTGACTCATGTATCAAAATCAGGTAAAAAAAATTTTGATTCCACAAAACTTTTTGTGATCTACGCAATGACACATCATTTGACATATTTTATCTCTCATAAACATAGTTCAAATTTGCAATAATGGTATTATAAGAGCGTTTAAACTCAGAAGCCTCCGAATTATGGATTTGTGATTTAATATAAAAAATAAATAAAGATTTGATTTGTGATTTAAATTAAAAAAATCTAAAGAATTATTAATAATAAGGAAAAAAATAAAGATTTGATTTGTGATTTAAAATAAAAAATCAATTTGAAAAATTTGTATTAATAAAGGAAATAATTAAATAAATATTATAAATCTCTAAGGAAGAAGGATTTTTTTGAACTGTGTTTGTAAGAGATAAAATATATCAAATTAGATGTCATTGCGTAGATCTCAAAAATTTATGTGGAATCAATTTTTTTTTATCTTATTCGGATACCCGAGTCAAAAGTTACGGTCTTCTGAAGTTTTACGGTTAAACTGTTAACTTTTTATGTCACATATCAACAATAGACGAGTCCCGCCTAAATTAGGCGTGAATGCCTTGTGAGTCACCCTTAACTTAGGTGTGAATAGTTACGTCCAATTTAGGCGTGAATGAAGCTGCAAAGTAGAAAGCTAACGATAGCCAACGATTTTTTAATTTTTAATTTTTTTAAAAAAATATTTTAATTCCCCCCTCCTAAGTTATACTAGAAAGTTGCAAAGTAGCCAACGATAGCCCAGGTATTTAGAAAAATAAAGCAAAGGGAACAGTGACCAAAATGCCACTGTTTCCAATCTTTTTTACCTAAAAGACACGCCAACAATGTTATTTCCCAATCTGCCACGTGGACAAGTTCGCTAGGCAATGTAGCGAACTCTGCTTGCTGATATGTCACGTTCCTGGTGGTGCTCTTGGTAATATGTCTCAGAAAACTTCGATGCAAATTGATGTTGCCTGGCAATTTCCAAGGAGTGATGCAGTGAAGATTAATATGGATGGAGTAGCAAGAGGTAGTTCTAATCTAGCTGCTTGTGGTGGTTTGATTCGTAATGCCCAAGGGAGATGGTTGGGGGGGGTTTTCTTATAGATTGGGTTCTTGTTCCTCTTTCAAAGTTGAGCTGTGGGGTGTTCTTCGGGGTTTGGAGTTGGCTTGGAGAGAGGGGAATCGCAACATAATTATCAAAAGTGATTCATCCAGTGTGATCACTGTGCTTACCATAAATGGTGCAACAGTCCGTGAGTGTCATTTGATAGCTCGAATACGGACATGGTTAAACAGATGCTGGTCCGTTAAACTCTTGCATACGTATAGGGAAGGGAATGTTTGTGCTGAATGGATGGAAAATTATATCCTGGATTTGGAAGATCACATTCCGTTTAAAATTTAACGTGATCCTCCTCCTGGCATTCAGAATCTGTTGTTTGGTGATTTAACTGCTGTCGGTAGATTTAGGACAGTAGTTTGTAGGTTTTAGTTTGTTTTGTCTGTTTGTTGGGCTTAGGCCTTTTGTTTACCAAAAAAAAAATATTAAATATATTTATTTATAAGTTGAAAATATAGTGTTAAATATTAATTGTGTGATATTATTTATTGATTACCCATTATTAAACAATATTAATTGTGAATGTAAATTTATTTAGGGTAGAAAACTTAGGTTAGAAGCATTAGTAATTGTATCATATTAATTTTTTAATAACATTAATTGTGTGATATTATTTATGCATTATTTAATAAAATTAAGTAATATTTAATTATGCACATTTTTCTATGTATATTAATGTTGTAATTTTTTATTAATTAATATTTATTTATGAATTATAGAATATTGTCCAGATGTTTGATATTTAATTATTTCTTAATAATTAGAATTTAGTTTTTACATATTATAATTTTGTAATTGTAATATAATTGTTTTTGTAAATAGACCGATGGACCAGCACGACCCGCATCAGACTTTCATCGACTCGGGTCCATCCGACCGTACTCTCCTTGTGTTGCTGGAGAAACCCATTTCCACTCATGTGTGGAACTCATCGGATGACCCATCCGTACGTGATCGTGTCCTTAATGTTAGGCATGCTGCAACACATGATCACCTGGATATATCGGAGGATATCGAGTCGTACCTTAAGCAGGCTGGATTTTATCATGTTGCGCGTTTGCGCAACCACGAGGTTAGTGAAAATTGTTTTTGTATAAGCTGCATTCATAGTTGAATGTTTTATAAATTTTGGTAAATTATTACTGTTTCGTAAACATATTGATCACTCGTTGATATCGGCCGTGGTTGAGAGATGGCGGCCTGAGACGCGTACATTTCATATGCTGATGGGTGAGGTGACAATCACCTTAGAGGATGTTCACCATCTGCTGGGGTTGCCCACGGATGGGGAGGTTATCTGTGGCCGCGCTGGAGGCCATCCTTTCCAGCAGATGATTACAGATTTGTTGGGAGTTCAACCTAGGCGACAACGAGATTTTCATAAGAACCAGTTGTCGCTGACATTTCTTCGTCAGAGATTTTTGCATTACGCAGACCATGCTGGCACTGAAGCTGATCGGATGAGATACATGTGTGCCTTGATCCTGCGCATATTGGGGGGGATTTTATTCGTTGAGACTGCATCCAGCTTCGTCCCGGCCTGATATTTATTAGTCTTCGATGATTTCCAGCGGACGGGGACATTTTTTTGGGATTCTGTCGTACTTGCTACCTTGTGCAGGGAGTTATGCAAGGTCACAGAGCCCGGTCGATTCGATGTGCTTTATTGCTGCAGTTGTGGGCATGGACGCGGTTCCCTACCATCTCACCTGGTGTCCCTAAGGTTACTGATCCCGACGCTATATATGGAGTCAGGTAATTGTTTGTTTGCATTATCATGTTTTTATTCCAATTTGGATATTGTCTTTGTTGTATAACTGCTTATTATGTCCATTATATAAATTGGTAATCTTGTTTGCGCAATTTTTTTGCAGGTTTAACATTTATACGTCGAGACAGTTCGTCTACTCTCACATCAGACGCTACCGTCATCATATTGACGTTATGCCCAGCCGCAGGATACGGTGGAGGCCTTATGATGGATTCCCAGCACATCTGCTGTCAGGCGTCGAGTCGCGCAGATGGTTAGCTATATGTCCACTCATACACTACCAGGTTGTCGTGTACCAGCAGCCTGATCGAGTACTGCGACAGTTTAGATACAGGTCGCCAATCACGAGCGATCCATTACCATGTTCCGAGCTGCTGACTGTCACCCCTACTGGTAAGGGTGACGTGGACTGGAAGGACCGCCACAGTCTGTATATAGCGTAGTGGCATTCGAGAGATGCCCTTGTTGTACAGGGACTTCAGGCTAACACATCCGATGGACACCTCTCTGTCAACATTACTTACATCCAGTGGTTTTTCTGACATACTCGTAGGTGGATGACTCAGAGATCGGCGGTTCATTCCCATATGGTATGCATTTAGGTTTCATATTATACATATTGTTGAGTGATTTTATCGTCGACAAATTAATTTAACATATTTTACTGTGTTCTACATCGCAGAGTGACCGTATGGAGACTGTTGCTCACATGTCATCGGACGAGGCAAGGGGAGCATTCACATACCGTCAGATATACGACGAGGCGCTTCAGGCTCTGTCTTCCTTTGCTGAGTTTGGTAGATTGACAGACCCTAGAGAGCCTGCACCTCCGCCTACAGCAAACTAGGTGCATGTCAGACACGTGGCACACCTAGTTCGCTTTAAGGGGCAGCGAACTTGCCAAAGCTGTCAGCATTTATTGCAGTCAAGTTCGCTACTTCAGGTGTGCACCACCAGGAACGTGACACATCAGCAAACATAGTTCGCTACATTGCCTAGCGAACTTGTCCACGTGGCAGTTTGAGAAATAACACTGTTAGCATGGCATATAGGTAAAAAAATTGGGAACAGTGACAAAATGGTCACTGTTCCTAAAGCAAAGCATTGTTCCAAAAAAAACAAGCAAAAATTCCTCGAACTTACATCTTGAATATGGATGGAAAAAAATTATTCTTTTGAATCTAAACCCACATTCAAACTTCGAAGTGTGCATGGCAATAATATTAATGAGGCGGCAGCACAGTGCACAAATCTAGAATTACATCTCCACAAAATAGTCAGTAATGGGACAATTACCTATCTACAACAACAAACCAAACAGACATATAACAGTACTAAATGGGAAAATCCCTACCGGGATATATTATTTTATCTATTTATTTTTATGTTTATTTTATCTATCATTTTTCAACACCGTTAGATAAGAATCTCAAGAGAAGAGATAAATGTTAAAAGTCAATTAAGATTCTTATTTAATGGTTTTGGAGAGTGATAGATGAGGTAAACATAAAAAAATAAGTAGATACAATAACCTATCCCTAAAACAACAAACCAAATTACATATAACAATACTAAATTAATAAAGAGAAAATATTTTCTCATGTTGTCGGAGACATCTTACATTATGTCATAGAGATAATCATACGGAACGATGCCAACCTTTTATAAAAAATAATAATAATAAAACTAAAGGGACCTACATATTTATCTTTATGACATGAGACAAGATATCTCCAATAACATGAGATTAATAAATCTCATTAATAAACACTTAAACAGTCACGCAGTATATATCACCCACGAAAAAGTAACAATCCAGCAGTTTAGTGATCCCTTATCCATGGACCTTGCTTCCTTTGGCAACTGCTAGCACTTTTTTCCCATAAATATGACTATGTAAATTTCCATAATTGGATAAAATGGTATTCCGAAGGCTTTTATGCAGAAGACCCTGCAATAAACATAAAAAGATAAAAATGATTAAGCATATATGTGAAAGTAATTTTTACAGAAACAAGCTCTGAATCAAAACATCAACAATTGTTAAGAGTATGTGCGGTATTTTATGATTTAGAACATGCTTCTTTGCCTGATATAGATATTAAAGCAGGAGAAGAAATAAAGGATGACAAATATTAAACACTAAAGAATGCTAGCAAGAGCACTTATTGATCTGTATTAAAAAACATTCTACAACATAATTGGAATTTTCATAAAAAGTTTCTTATTATGAGGGGAAAACACAAATTAAAAAAATTGATGAAATAAAAAAGAAATATATAATAATACAAACCGTGGAGAAATTCAGTGCTTTCTGAGCAACAAAATTTCCGTAAGGATGCTGAAGAACATTCAAGAATTCACGGCTATCTATAATCTCCCGAATTATAATAGCAGCATCCTCTCCAGAAAATTGCAAGAGATCTTCCACCACATGGCTACCAAACTTATTCATAGATAATTGAACATATTTTCCGCGAAGTCCTGATATTATTGATGCATTTACCGTAGGCATCTTCATTCCAACTAAAACCTTCACCGCATAGTTCCTATTTGGGCATAAAGAAAGAAATTATTAAATATTAAAAATTAAAAACGAAGGAACATTCAAACTAAAATAAATATACAAAATTTACAAGCTGAAAGTTCAAAAAATGAATGAAGAATACTATGATAATCTACATTGTTATAATTCTTTTGAATAAATAATAATAAAAATCCCTGACTTGTTTCATTTTCATGTACGAAAAAGAGAAAGAAAAAAACCTTATTCTTCATGTAGTTGATCGTAGCTTTTTTTTTTTTTTTTTTTTTGTCTTACTAGTAACATAATATTCTTTATTAGTAATTTTTAAAATTAGTTAGTAATCAAACTTTTAGACACTTGGGGAGAACCCAAATTTTTTATTTATTCGAAAATCACGATTTTCAGGAATATGGTGATAAATTGAGTTTTCGGAAAATATTATAAAAAGGTTATTTGGTAGGCTAAAATATTCCAAGGAATATTGGATTAATTTTCTTAATACTATGTTAGGTTGTATTAAGTTTTCCCTTGTCATGGGAATCCTAGAATATCATCCTCTTTAGAGAATGGTATTCTTAAATGGTATTTTAGAAAATTTCACACACAAAATAAAAATTCAAAAAAATTAGATTTCTGGATAAAATTTAAAAATCTTGTATTAAACGTGGGTAAATAAGATTATTATCTTTAATTTCCCAAAAATCTTAAAAAAAAAAAATTCTATCAAACACCCTTTTACAAAAAAAGTTATCCCAAAAAATAAATAAAAAATAGTTAGTTACAACTAATCATATGAAGGTGTAAAAGCACGCGGAATGGATCCTCTCATATGAAAAAGTGATCCTCTGATCATGTTATTTGATCACAACCACTCATTGATGATGAGATAAAAGAGAGAAAAATGTATAATTTTTAAATGAGTGATTGTGATCAGATAACATGATCACATAATCACTTTTGCACATGAGAGGATCCAAAAGCAGCAGAGAATAGGGGTGGTAAACAAACCAGGGGCCTTTGGCTCGGCTCGTGAAGGCCTGAACTTACATGTTTGAAATTGGTTATTGAAACCAGGCTTGGACTTGTATAAAAACTCGTTTAATAAAAAGGCCTGAGGCTCCAATTCAAAAGCTCGGCCTTGGAGCCTCTGAGGCCGACCTAGTATATTAATTTTTATTTTTATTTTTATTTTTTATTTTTTATACTACTTGTAATAGTCCCTTCTCTCTCCTCAATCCATTTCACCCCTTTTTTTGGTTAAAAAGATTTTTTGAATAATTTTGTTCTATATTATGCTGTTTGGATATACATTGAATTTATGAATATTTATGAAATTACTAGTGTTGTTGATTGTATATTTTGTTTGGATAAAATTTTGTTGTCTTATTTTTTTTTAAACAGGCTAACAGGTCAAACCAGACTTTTATTTTTTGTAAATAAGACAGGCCAAGGTCGATAATTATATTCGTAAGAGATAACAGGCTAGGTCAGACTGACACATTTAAATACAGGCTTAGCTTTTTAAGATCAAAGCTCGGCCGGTTAACACCAGACAACATCGTTGCCCTTTCAAATACGGGATGCAAATAAATTACAAAATAAGCAATAAAATATAACGAGCAGTTTTTGAGAGTTGGAAGTCAAACCCATATTTATCTTCTGCTAAGACTGCAGCATTGACTATAATTTCTTTAACCAGCAGAAATATAGCTTGTACCCGATCAACATGGCCCAGACAATTTTGAATAGCAGTAGAACCGCTTTTATCTGTTGCAATATCAATGCAATTCATTGCAACTTCATCCAAAATAACCTGAATGAAAAATCGTCAATTAAAAATTGGATGAAAAAAAAAAGGTCTTATTCATGTTCACTTGTGTGACATAATCAGTATTATTATAATTAATTAACTGCAATGTTGAAATAAATACAATCTCTTGTATCCATTCTAGGATGTGTAAACAAGTTTTTTTTTTTTTTTTGCAATGTAAGAACAATTACATATGTAATGTAATCAAAAGAAGCACAAGAATGGGATATTATTATTGTGTGCATTACTTTTTGATATGCTGGTGGGAAAAGCTTCACACAGTGCTCAATGACATTAGCACCATTATCATTTTTCACCAATATGACAATGATGGGATGAAATGCACATAAAACTGCATATAATTTATCTTGGGTTTCAACATTCAGCTCCAGCATTCTCTGCATTGCCCGACTCCTATATCATACCAAGAAAATTAGAACGCAAGGAATTCCATAAAATTCAATAAAGAATTTTAAAATTTCAAAGAAAATTAAGAAATATTAAATGTAATGGTACCCGTATTTGTCTACGCAGACATATTTCAGTTTCTGCATATCTTGGATAATCAATGAAAAAATTGCATCTTTCTGATCCACAGTGACAGTCCTTGCCTCAAAAATCCTCTGAACTACGTGATTGCCAAAAGGGTGTCTCATTAGCTCATGCAAATGATCCTTCACTTCAGAGAGGATCATTCCAATTTCCTCAGGGGTCCCCACATCAATCTTCCTCTGCAGTAAACGACAACCATATTGATCCTCTGCCATTGAAACCACCCTTCTCCTCACACCTTCAAGTGAATTAAAATTACAACGACCCACTTGTGATTGTGAGCGTTGCATCATTAACCTGTAACATTCTAATAACCTAACTCTATTCCAATTAGGATATTCAAATGAATTTCCCATCCTCCAATCTGGGGCAGCAGCAGCAGCAGCAGCAGCACGCATCCTTAAACTACTCAAATAGCAATCTTCTTGAACAAAAACATTGGTCCCCAAATCACGGGAATAGTGATTCGTGGACAAGTTAAGTCCTTTCATAGCAGACTCAATGGCTTCTACACCAACAGTAGGGTTAACAGTGTTCTGAATCTGATTCAACCAATAAGACTCAGAACTCTGAACTTGGTGCAGATTCCATGGGCGAAAGGGATAAGGGGTTTCCACCACGGTGCCGTTTTGAGCACCGCGATTTTGAACAGAAGGATCAAGAATGATGGGTTTGAGATGATTATTGTTAGGGAACATTGTGGAATCTCTGCGTTCCATTGAAAGAGAAAAAAAATACAGAAAAAACACAAACTATGGAAGCAGAAGAACGAGTTGAAGAAAAAGCGGGTTGTGTTTGAATTTATATAGAAACTATTCATGAGAGTCCTGGTTTATCAAGGAATTATAGGAATTGATGTTGATAGAGATTTCAAGATTTGATCACGTACAAATCTCTTTGGACTTTTATTTTATTTTATTTTATTTTTTTCATGCAGGGAAAGCTTTTAATTTGAATATTTGATTGGTAGGTGGATCCCACTTATACTAATTTGTCATTCCTGCAATAGCAATAACAGAAAACAATTATCTTTTAATGGCATTATCATCTCTCCTTAAATTTGAATTTTTTTAAATGCATTGATTTGGATATTCTTCCGAAATACTTTTAAAATACACCGTTTTGTTTTCAGCTACCATAAATTTATGACTTGGTCAGAAGACAATCTTAGTATAAATTAGGAAATTGTATTCCCGGCCTTTAAAGCCACAAACAAAACAAATAAAATGCTTGAATAACATAAAAAAAGGGGTCTTTAATTTCTTTACTTGATTGGAAAAGAGCGTTAGAATTCTCAATCAAATACAAATAAAAGGGAAAATTGCCTGATTGTCGCATGTGATAATAAAAAGATACTAGTATATTACTCGTGCGATGCACGGGAAAAAAAGATCAATTTTTTGTCGTTCGCTGTGGTTGGTTAATCGCACTGCAAATCTTATACTTACAAAAAAATTGTGTTGCTATCGTATTCTATATTTCAGTTGAAAAAAATTACAGCATTGAATTATAAAAGAAGAACAATAAAATATGCTATCAGATTTAGGAATTTATTATTAAAGGAGAAGAATGAAATTTTAATTTAACTATAAAAATGTGTCAGTGGGCAAATTTGTATTTACAAAAATTAAAATCAGATTTAGGAATTTAATCATAAAAGAAGAAGAATGAAATTTTAATTTAATTATAAACATGTCTTGGCGGGCCGGCCCTTCGGGCCGAGCCCAGTTTGTCACCTCTAATTATTTGCATGTAATAGGTTGTTATATTTATCCACAAAAAAGACTCTAGTTGCGTCTAGGTTTTTATATTTTATCTCACAGATGAACTTTCATTTATTATAATTAGATATACGAAATAATAAAAATAGTTATTTTTTTGTAAGGATTTGTGTCATTAATATTTGAAATTTTAAGAATATGTATTTACAAAAATTGAAATCTGAATTAGAAATTTAATTATAAAAGAATAATAGTGAAATTTAATTTAATTATAAAAATATGTTGGCATGCGGGACGGGCAGGCCCTTTGGGCCAAGCCCAATTTGCAACATTTAACTATTAGAATTTTATTTAAATAATTATTTTATTGCAAGGATTTGTGTCATTAGTATTTTTAAATTTTACATATTACAACAATTAAAATTAGATTTAGGAATTTAATTATAAAAGAAGAACAATAAAATTTTGATTCACTTATAAAAATGTGTTGGTGGGCCGAACCTCCGGGCCCAGCCCAGTTTGCCACCTCTAACTATTAGCATGTAATAGATTTTTATGTTTATCCACACAAAAAAGGCTCTTATAGTTGCGTCTAGATTTTTATATTTTATCTCACAGATGAACTTTCATTTATTATAGTTAGATTTACAAAATATTAAATTATTATTTTTTTGCAAAGATTTGTGTCGTTAGTATTTGGAATTTTATAAATTTATATTTACCAAAATTGAAATCTGAATTAGGAATTTAATTATAAAAAATGAATAGTAGAATTTTAAATTAATTATAAAAATGTGTTGGTAGGCAGGGCGGGCCCTCTGGGCCAAGCTCAGTTTGTAACCTTTAACTATCAGCATTTTATGTAAATAATTATTTTTTTGCAAGGATTTGTGTTATTAGTATTTTGAATTTTACAAATTTGTATTTACAAAAATTAAAATCAGATTTAGGAATTTAATTATAAAAGAAGAAGTATGAAATTTTAATTTACTTATAAAAATGTGATATGTTTTTATATATTTATCCACACAAAATTGTTCTTATAGTTGCATCTAGATTACTATATATCTATATTTTTTACAGTAGCCTTTCAATCGACTCTTTGTGGTCTGTGTATTTGTGACATATATAAGAGATAAAGAGATGAAAAATATTTGAGTTTGTACGTTTAATATTTTATCAAACACTTTATAGTTGAAGTTGAATAAGGTAATATCAAAAGACCATTCATTAGTTTATTAATATAATAATAAATATTATTAATAGACTTAACAAAATATTATTAATAGGCTCAATAATTTTCGATGGAGAAAGTTGTGGTATTATTAATAGGCTTAACAATTTTTCATGCAGAAAATAGTAAGAAACATTAAAATAGTATGTGAAATACTTAAGTGCTAACATTTTTTTACGATGCAAGAGTTGGATGGTCACTGAATAATCGTTAATTTTTATAGTGATTAAATTTTTATAATTTTTTTTACGGAATGATAGGTGTCATTTTTTATTTAAATTAAAAATTAAAATTCTTTTGTATTTTTTATTCAATATTCTTTTGAAAATATACCAATATCTTGGTCGTCTTCCCCGTAATAAACCAATATTGTAAGAACCCACACCACTAATTAAGAAAATTAATTAGATAATTATGAGATAATTTCATAATTGACCCTAATAATTATTATGAGGCTTTAGTAATTATAGTAAGTGAGTAATAATGTTGAAAGTCGCTTTTCTGACGAAAAGTGCAAATACCGGTTATGCTAGTCGGTATAAAATGCGTACCGAAAAAGTATCCCAGAAAACTATAATAAATGCATGAATATTCCTAGAATAATATGTAGGACTTTTAAAACAAGTTTCAAGTCAAAATAATGAGAACTGGTGTCAGAACTGATACTGGCTATGGAAAAGCGCGTACCGGAAAGGTGCTCCGAAAAATAAAATAAAAATATGATAAATCTTAGAAAAATGATTAGGTTCAAAATCTAAAATTTGAGATTAAAATGTTAAGCGTAGCTATTTTCGTTAATACTGTGTGTTTAATTTTAAGTGAGCTATAAATACTCACTTTGGCCCAAAACCCTAGGCCACATTTTATCCAACGTGAGTCACTTGCTGAAGCTCTCAATCAGCCACCCTCTCCTCCTTTCGAACTTGAGTTTTCTCTTTAGAATCTCCCCAAGGTCTCACCTTTCCTTTGATTCTTCCTCTTTAGAGTTGTAAACACTGTCTTGTTGGGAATTGTGAGGGAGTGTGGTGTAGCCTTTTGAGTGTTTGCTGCTGCCTTGGGTGGTTGAGGGCTGAGTTGTTGAGTCTTGTGGAGGGAGCCTTGTTCTTGTTCTTTGAGGCTTCAAGAAGCCATTTTGATGGTGAAATGTCAAAGCTTGTTGTTGATTTTCGTAGTCTTGGTGGGTCAGAATCTATGTGTTGTGTAGAGGACCCCTTGTGTGCCTCATTTTCGGATTTGTGGTGCATTAGAGGTATACTTGATCGTAACTCTTGTCATTTTGATGTTTTAAGCTTGTTTAAGCAATTAAAAATCATAACTTGAACCATTTGATAAAAGGAATGTGTTTCTGGGTTCATATCATGTTAATAAACATCTGTTTAAGGAGTTCTTGGACTCCAGATCGAGTTTGGATCATTGGAGGTCGATTTTACCTTTAAAACTCAGTTTTCTGCATTCTGTCGAAGAAGTATTCGAATACTTTTTGGGAAGTATTCGAATACTTTTCTGGGAAAATGCAGTAATCGAATACTTCACGAGACAGCAGCGACCTAGTTTAGTAAATTGAGTGAGGTTTGGACCTATGTGAAGCTAACACATAGGGCTACAACCATATAAATTTTCAAATCCATTTGATAAGTGTATTTCTCTCAGTGTATTTTTGAAGACGAGACTCTATTGCTGGAAATTCAGCTTGTTGTAGGAACTTTGCAAAAATCATAACCGAAGTTATACAACTCTGATTGAGGCATAAGATATGTCGTTGGAAAGCTTGAGGTGTCTAGTTTAACATAGTAAGATATTAGAGTATTTGATAAAGATTTGCAACATTAATTTTAATTGGTAGTCGAATACCCCTTGCAGGAAAGCAACGGGATACTTTTCTGGGAAGAAAAGTATTCGGATACCTTTGAAAGAAGCAGTATTCGAATACTGGAAAGTATTGAAAGACAGGAGGTTTGGTATTCGGATACGGTAAGTTATTCGGATATGGGGAAAAGTATTCGGATACTTGGTAGTATTTGAATACTTAAATGAAAGTAATCGTATACTTTCTGGATAGTTGGAGTATTCGAATACTACTCGTGGAGTATTCGAATACCTCCTGCAGAAAATGCATAAAATGACTTATAATGAGATGGAAAGCCTTAATCACTTTAATGTAACCTTGATAGATGGTTATTGATGATTACTTACTGTATAAACAGATTATGATTGTACTGTTTGCGGGCTTTGAGCTAGTGTGGACTCT